TTTTGTCGGGGTCAAATTGAGACAAGCTTTGCTTCTATTTTTGATCCTAATTAATTAATTTTAATGTTGCCCACTTTATTTATCACTTGATGTATTTATTAATTAATTGAATAAATGTTAATTGAATTGAATTGAATTGAAAACGTTAACGAATAAATAACAATAATTAAAACGTGTACATAGTATCACTACTACAATAATAAGATTAAATTTTTTAAATTTTATAATCAATTTTATATAGCCGGGGTTAGTATTGACCTAGGCTACTATGGCTAACGACAGGTACGCTTTCTCCAATAAAGGCCTTTTCTATGAATGGATTGACCTGCACGAAACACGAACTCCTGAAGACCGAACCCAGTACCGTTACGATTTTAATCGTGCAGGAAATATCCTCAAAATGTATCTTGTAAAGACGTCTTTCCAAGATAATGTATCTTGGAATTCCGTCTTTCCAAGATAATTTATCTTGGAAATCCATCTTTCCAAGATACGTTATCTTGGAATTCCGTCTTTCCAAAATACGTTATCTTTGAATTCCGTCTTTCTAAGATACTTATCTTGGAATTCCGTCTTTCCAAGATCAATTATCTTGGAATTCCGTCTTTCCAAGATACGTTATCTTGGAATTCCGTCTTTCCAAAATACGTTATCTCGGAAAGACGTCTTTCCGAGATAAATTATCTCGGAAAGACGTCTTAATAAGTGTTTATTCCATGTTTCCAAGATAATTATCTTGGAAACTCGGAAACTAGGAAGGTCACTTTAAGCTTCCGTAGAATTGTCCTCATGAACAGAATAATGAAAGAAAGTTTATGCAGCATCAGTGTTTTATAAAATGTTATAAAGCTATACGCGCGCACGCTGTTTGGTGACAACATGGCGCCCATGCGCCAAGTTGGCCAAACTCTCTCTATCTCATAGAGCTATTAAACAACTAGAGTTCTGACAAGATGGCGCAGCAATGCAGAGTTATGTCATAGAGATATAATAAGAATACTAGATCGCTAACCGCAATGTATTCGATGTTCGAAATACACAGAACTTTGTGTGTGTACCATCCAAGATGGCTGTTTAGATTTAGCCAATGAAAGTCATGAAAGTTCCCTAATGAATTCGCTTTAAAGTTAAATTATTAACGAGAATTACTATTTGACAAGAAGTCTTTTGGATCACCTATTGGTATGTAGTTTAAAAGACACTTTGACCTTTTATCTTTGAGATATTTGTCATTATTCATCTGAACTCTTTTGGATTTTTTAAGCCCCGCTACAACAGGACAAGCGGTTCTCAAACAAAAGGCACTGTGATCTGTTTATTGGACCTTACTGTCCAGCCTTTGTCTGTAGTGTAGTGCTATGGTACTACTTGGGATGTGCCGTTCATGCACGCGCGTACGCGCGGAGGAATATGATTAAATTAGTTATGTTGAAGACGACATGGCGTGTGTGTATCGTTGTTGATTGTCCATATAAACAACACTAAATCTGGCGACGAGAGATAGCTAGAAGGAGGGATAATGGCGAAAGTAAATATCCCTTGTGTCGCTGCATTTGACAATGTTGTCGCTGAGTCTTTGGACACGTCTGTAGGTCCAAAATGGGAAGCGTGGATTAAGCGTTTCGAGAATTATGTCGTAGCCCTGTCCGTGTCGTCGGACGCGCAAAAACGTGCATTGCTCCTACATGCTGTAGGGCCGCATTGCTTTGAAATATTTGACAGTCTACCTGATACTGGAACTACTTACGCACATGCCAAAGTGGCTCTGTCGAATCATTTTAGGCCTAAAGTTAATATTGAATATGAGAGGGCTGTATTTAGACGTCTTAGGCAGAAGTCAGACGAGAAACTAGATTCCTACCATACCCGACTAAGGAAGGCGGCCGGTACATGTAACTTTCAAAGTATTGACCAAGAACTGAAGTCGCATATTATCCAAACAACTACTGACTCGAAGTTGAGAAAACAGTGCCTTAAGGAAGACGGACTTACGCTAGCAGAAATTCTACAAATTGGAAGGTCAAATGAACTAGCA